AAGTTGTTAATAAAATACGATTTATGTAAAATAATATAAATTATTATGTTTATAAAAAAACTATTATTTAATTTGTATGACCTTATTACGACATAAAGATTTAGCAGAGATGCATGTTTTATTCTTCGATCTTCCAGCCAAATATGAATGCTACTTGTCTGCGTAATGCTTTTATAGTCAAATAGGAATCCGCCACAGTAAAATTTATTTGACATCTGAATCTATGAAAATGGTAAATATGTAAAATTAGAATATTAGCACAATAGGTTTTACCAAAAGATTTAATCATAATAATAATTTAGAAAAATTGTATTTCAAAAATTGAAATCATTTCTTGGACTGAGAACCTGTTCATCTCCCGGCACTTCTAAACTATTTCAATTTGTATAGTGCTGTATCCAGCAATTTTAATACAGCAACACTTTTACTAGTCCTATACGAATTAAATTAATTAAAAAGTTCCTCTATCATTATGTAACTTTTTCTGTATGAAATCTAAAAATTGAAAAAATTCAATAATTTCATTAAAAAAAATTTTTCTTTACATTTCTGACTTACGAAAAAAAGTTACATAACTTTATTTACTACGATACTTTTGATAAAATAAAGAATTGCACTCTTCCTAAAATTATTTAAAAAATCAGTTATTTAAGAAATTTTTTATTTTAAAAATTAGTTAATTTGGACTATTGAAACAGATAGCAAAATATTCTTTGAACAAAGATGTTAATATTAACGGCAGCTTTGAATTCTTTTCGAATTCAATGCGATCTATAACATCTGTAATCTTGTTTTTGCTAATATTTATTATTAATTTAGCATTTGATAAATTATTACAAAAATTGCAACAGAGTAAAAAATTTTCTGTATAAATTTCTGTATAATTCTTTTTGTTAACCAGTTCGATGTAATCAAGAGAAGTTAAACTTATTACAGATTGTAATTACAATATGTAAGATTTATCTTTACGTGATATAAGCAAAGGGAATAATTACCAGAATCCAATCTCTTTTGTTTTGATGGTAATTCCTCAATCGAAGAACTCTGCGTCGAAGTACTTTGCATTCCGCCGGACACTGGTACACCTCCACCATCACTGGAACTACTTTGTCTAGGCATGTATTCCACAGTTAAAGAACTTTGCGTCGAAGTTCTTGGTATTCCGCTAAACCCTGGTACATCTTCATCGTCGCTCGAACTGCGTTGTTCAGGCCTGTATTTACATATTAAAAAGACTGAAACTATTATATATTATTTAAAAAAACAAAAAAATGCTATAAAATACACAATATTTTAAATTAAAAGAGTACATCCTATGTTACTCCTTGAGTTATTAAATCTAAATTTACATTTTTCGAATTTAGTATTGACATTATCAATTCGGTAATATTTACATTTTTAATTTATTTTGCGTTTATGTTTGAGTACAATTAAGGTTTTTGGAATTGAATATTGAAATATAATGCTGTAGAAACATAATCATATAATATAATATGCAAATGTTGATAGATATACAACTAGAATGTCTGATTATATAATAAATATAATATACGGTACTCGAAGCAATTCAAACTGAACGAAAAAGTTAATTTCTTGCAATTACCGTAATTAAAAAATTAATTAAGATAAATAAATGACCGTTCGTTAAATGTTATTCAGATAGTAAACGTATTGCATATTATACATGGATGTTAAATGAGCCAATATTTCGATACATACGACGAAATTGCAATCGTCACGATACGTTTATCAGTGATCTCGTCTTTGCGCTTCATTATTGAATCTGTCATCACAAATTTCGTATGCAATATATAAGCAAAAAACATTGGTATTTACAATACTTTTTGCTTATATTCTGTGCGTACTAAAAATATGATAATATTATATTTTGTAAAAAATTTTTAAAATTTATAGAATTAAAACAAATTAAAATATTCTGTGATTTATCAAATTTTTTTTTTAATTACGCGAAACGTAGTTTACAATTGATTACATTTATTATAACATAATATAAATTATACTTATATTGGAAGTTAATATTCAATTTTTATATGTTATTTAATATCAGAAAAGTGAATAACTATTCAACAATGTGTACTTTTTGACTCCCATACCTTTCCGCTTGATGTGATATCTGCATTGCAGCTTCTCGTCTTTTTTCCTTTAAATTTTCCAATTTGTTTTCTATTGTTGCTCCTTTTCTCTTTATGTTAGTGTCAACACTGTTAATAAAAAAATGTTTCAGAATAAATATTAAAATTAGAAATGAAATCGTTTATTTGAGTAAATTGATTAAGTAAGAAGTAACACCAATTATGATAAGAATTAAATGTTAAACTAAAACACATAAAGAAAGGGTTCCGTTTGTCTACAAAACGATTATCTATAGTTCACATGTATGTAAAAAGTTACATTTTTCTCAAGAAGTTCTCTATAGGTTTTAAGATGCTAGCAGCATGAAATTAAAGTGTCTAATTAAATTTGAGAAGTTATTATAATATTTCACACTGACTATGTATTGAAAGGCTGAAAGTAATTGTTGCGCAGTCATTTCTAAGATGATTATATTTAGTATATATACGTATTCATGTGTCTAATTTCGATCATAATTGGCGCTTCTTCGTGTTTAATTGCTTTGTGATTATATTACTATTTGTAAAATGTTTATCATAAGATGTTTTTTGGTGGAACAAAACCAAAGTCAGACCAACAATTGTCATTACTTTCGGATTATTATGAAGTTATATAAATAAAACAAGAAAAACGTAATTAACTTTTGCCGGTTTTGATATGTCTAAAAAATATTTGTTTCGTACCTATGGACATTCATCCAATGTTGGTGCATCTCTTTCAATTTGTCGAGTGACAATTGAGTGTCTTCTTCCAAATTTTCTGAATATTCACAATGAGAATATTCACAACAGGTTGCCAGATTTCCATCCGTTATTTTGTAATTTTTAAAGATATTTAGTATAGCTCGATCATTTTTTATTTCATTGTATATCTTATTTTTCGGTCCATGGTATATTTCCCAATGATTTCGTATGTGGTATAACTTATTTTCAATTAATGTAACTGTTTCATAACATTCTTTTATATTACATATTAAAAAACCAGCTTTTGTTTGACTCATTTCGTATCTTTCTAATAGCGTATCAAGAAATGCAAAACCATATTCAGCTTCTTTACTTTTTATAGTCTCTTCAATTTTAGATATTTCAATAATACTTTGCATCATTTTGTTTGCTTCTAAATTTTTTTGTTCAATATCTTTTAACTCTCTTTCAATGGATGCTTTGTCTAATAACATTTTTGTGTGTAGTGATAATTCCGGAACATTTCTGTGGAATTCATAGAATTATTTAATATGGCTTTATTAATTTAATTTTATATGATTAATTAATTTGATTTTATATAAGTTACGTTCCATGCCAACGTTAGATTATATGTCTACAGTGATTTGTAGATTACTGCAATGGCACGGAACGCGTATGTATTAATAAATATGTGTAAATCATATAATTACCATAATATTTATTACCAAAAGTTAATTTATTATTTATAGCAAAAACATAAAACACTATATTGTTTTTCCTTTCCATTAAGTTTAATTCAA